CTCACAAACTTTTTCCGGCCCTGTTGCTCGAGGTCATTGTGTCTCCCCGCGAACTCATAATGTCGATCTTTAGCACTCTCGATTTCCTCCTCTAGTTTGGTCATTGTTGTTTTCAAGTCCTCATTCTCGTTTTCCAGATCTCTCACTCTGTCTTCCAGTGTTTCGATGCGTTCGGCATGTTCTCTTTGAATGTCAATCTTCAGCTTCTCTAGCTTCCTATCAAGAACATCCTCAGTAATAATTGACTTTAAAATCACGGATATCTCATCAAGCCGGTCATCCGTCGATTTCAAACATCCGATACCACTGGTCCTATTACTACTGACACTGGCGCTCCGTCCACGTTGAGGTTTATTACTGGCTGGCATGGGAAAAAAAATTGCTAAATAATAGCAGAGAATCCCAAAAGTATCACTTCAATCTCTCCGATATAATACAAGTCCGGTATATATAGCGTATACACAGCTCGGTCAGGTACAGGTAAGTGGTGAGTAGTAGTCAGCCGCGAAGCTCAGTCCATTATTTCGACCATTTACTTCAAAAAAGACGATTTTCCGAAGAAAGTTCAATTAGGTCTGCACACAAATGGATAGTTGAACGATCTATCTAACCCATGCCCAAAAAATGTATTTCACAATACGGTGTTGACTTTGGAAAAAGTATGTTTTCTCGGAGCTCTGTTACAATCGACTGACTAGGTTCTCGTGACCTTGACTTCTTCTCAATCCATATATACATTTATATCTTGTTTGTATTTATGTTGTAACAATATCTAAATTTTGTAAATATATTATACAAATTATCTACCTGTTTGCAGCATTGTTATTAAAATTCTCTTTCTTGTATGTAACTATATTATATGCATTCTTAACCTATTTGTAACTATGCTACATGAAACCTCGACTTTTTTGCAACTATGTTATATAAATTATCTACCAGTTTGTAACTATGTTATATAAATCTTCGACCTGTTTGTAACTACGTATATAAATTCTTTACCTGTTTGTAACTATGTTATATAAATTCTTTATTTTGTTTGTTACTATGCTTTTTAAATTCTTTATTTTGTTTGTAACTATGATATATAAATTCTTTATTTTGTGTGTAAGTATGATATATAAATTCTTTATTTTGTGTCTAAGTATGATATATAAATTATCTATTTTGTTTGTAAGTATGCTATATAAATTCTTATCCTGATTGTAAGTATGATATATAAATTCTTTACCTGATTGTAAGTATGATATATAAATTCTTTATTTTGTGTGTAAGTATGATATATCAATTTTATTTTATTTTTGTAAGTATGATATATAAATTCTTTATTTTGTTTGCAAGTATGATATATAAATTCTTTATTTTGTTTGTAAGTATGATATATCAATTCTTTATTTTTTTTGTAAGTATGATATATAAATTATCTACCTGTTTGTAAGTATGATATATAAATTCTTTATTTTTTTTGTAAGTATGATATATAAATTCTTTATTTTGTTTGCAAGTATGATAATTAAATTCTTTATTTTGTTTGTAAGTATGATATATAAATTCTTTATTTTGTTTGTAAGTATGATATATCAATTCTTTATTTTTTTTGTAAGTATGATATATAAATTATCTATTTGTTTGTAAGTATGATATATAAATTCTTTATTTTGTTTGCAAGTATGATAATTAAATTCTTTATTTTGTTTGTAAGTATGATATATAAATTCTTTATTTTTTTTTGTAAGTATGATATATAAATTATCTACCTGTTTGCAAGTANAAGTATGATATATAAATTCTTTATTTTGTTTGTAAGTATGATATATAAATTCTTTATTTTGTTTGTAAGTATGATATATAAATTCTTTATTTGTTTGTAAGTATGATATATAAATTCTTTATTTTGTTTGTAAGTATGATATATAAATTCTTTATTTTGTTTGCAAGTATGATATATAAATTCTTTATTTTGTTTGGAAAAATGATATATAAATTCTTTATTTTGTTTGTAAGTATGATATATAAATTCTTTATTTTGTTTGGAAAAATGATATATAAATTCTTTATTTCGTTTGGAAGTATGGTATATAAATTCTTTATTTTTTTTGTAAGTATGATATATAAATCCTTTATTTTGTGTGTAAGTATGATATATAAAGTCTTTATGTCGTTTGCAAGTATGATATATAAGTTCTTTATTTTGTTTGGAAAAATGATATATAAATTCTTTATTTCGTTTGTAAGTATGATATATAAAGTCTTTATGTCGTTTGCAAGTATGATATATAAGTTCTTTATTTTGTTTGGAAAAATGATATCTAAATTCTTTATTTTGTTTGGAAAAATGATATCTAAATTCTTTATTTTGTTTGCACGTATGATATATAAATTCTTTATTTCGTTTGGAAGTATGGTATATAAATTCTTTATTTTGTTTGGAAAAATGATATCTAAATTCTTTATTTTGTTTGCAAGTATGATATATAAGTTCTTTATTTTGTTTGGAAAAATGATATCTAAATTCTTTATTTTGTTTGCACGTATGATATATAAATTCTTTATTTCGTTTGGAAGTATGGTATATAAATTCTTTATTTTGTGTGTAAGTATGATATATAAATCCTTTATTTTGTGTGTAAGTATGATACATAAATTCTTTATTTTGTGTGTAAGTATGATACATTAATTCTTTATTTTGTTTGCAAGTATGATATATAAATTCTTTATTTTTTTTGTAAGTATGATATATAAATTATCTACCTGTTTGTAAGTATGATATATAAAGTCTTTATGTCGTTTGCAAGTATGATATATAAGTTCTTTATTTTGTTTGGAAAAATGATATCTAAATTCTTTATTTTGTTTGCACGTATGATATATAAATTCTTTATTTTGTTTGGAAAAATGATATATAAATTCTTTATTTCGTTTGGAAGTATGGTATATAAATTCTTTATTTTGTTTGAAAGTATGATATATAAATTCTTTACCTAATTGTAAGTATGGTATATCACTGATCTACCTATTTGTAACATTTTTATAAATTAACATTTGTGCTGCTACCCACTATATGAACATAACCAGCAGAAATGCTATTCATTTGAGTATAAAAGCAACAACTCTCGGGACGTAACACGTGGTTTACCTATAACGTCATATATTAACCTTGTTTAATGAGAGTCGTGTCGCTTCGCTTCGAAAAACATTGAGAATGCCCCCGCGTCAAACGCTTTAATGACTTCGGTTAATTATTGGCGCCAATTCTTTTCCATATAGGGCTTTTCCGCCAGTGCTGTTTAAAGGACGACGCATATACAAAACGCAGTAAATTAATTAATTATTTAAGAACGAATAAATAAAATTTAACTATTGTTCTATAGCAAAAATGTAAATATATGGATTGAACGGCGTTTTTTTTATTTGCATGCCGGTATGAACGCGAATCGGTTACATCCATATTACACATGAAGTCCTACTAGGCTTCATGCATGTAACCGATTTGCGTCCATACAGGCATGGAAATTGAAAAAACACTGTTCAATCCATATATACATTTTATATCATGTTTGTAAAATATGTTATATAAATTATCTACCTGTTTGCAGCATTGTTATTTAAATTCTGTATCTTGTTTGTAACTATATTATATGCATTCTTTACCTATTTCTAACTATGCTATATGAATCCTCGACTTATTTTGCAACTTTGTTATATATATTATCTACCTGTTTGTAACTATGTTATATAAATCATCTATCTGTTTGTAACTATGTTATATCAATTATCTACCTGTTTGTAACTATGTTATATAAATCATCTACCTGTTTGTAACTCTGTTATATAAATAATCTACCTGTTTGTAACTATGTTATATAAACTATCTACCTGTTTGTAACTATGTTATATAAATTCTCTAATTTATGTTTGTAATTATGTGATATAAATCTGTTGGTAACAACGCTACATGTACATGTATATTATTTTATATCTTATGTTTGTAACTAGGTTATATGGAGATACGGTATACTAGTGGTAGGACGCCGGGCTCGTGACCGAAGGGCTGCGAGATCGAGTCACGGCACGGCACTGTGTTGTATCTTTGAGCAAGATACTTTACTCCGCTTGTTCCAGTCTACTCAGCTGTAAACGAGTACGTGGTTGGGCAGTACTAGAATTCTTGAATGCTAGTTGTTAGTGCCGAATGGCAGCACCGGCTGTATGCTCCCTAGGGAGTTGAGAAAGGTATTGGCTGGTTGCAAAAGCCCTATAACCACGGATAATAATTTGTGAACCGCTTTGAGACGACCTGCGAACTAGGTTGTGATAAAGCGGTACATAAGAACCTCGAATTATTATTGTTATTATTTATTGTATATTATTCCCTTCTCATGAATGCCTCCAGATATAATGATAACTAAAGAGAGTGTTCATATTTTTATTGATAAATCAATAATTAATGACCGAAATAACCAGGTGTTACAATACATTTTATAGGAGCTTCCTATTCTGTATTTCTAATATTTATCTTAATATCTATAACACAACACCTGTGTCTAAATGTTTGTTCAATAAGGTGCAACTAGCCCCATAGAGTAAGAAGTTATCTATAATGCAGGTGAACTATTTTTGTATTAAAACATCAGCCTTGATGACTCATTACCGAATAAGTTGACGTCGTTACATATCATTTTAATAACTTAAGTACATGTTCAACATATATTGCAATGATACATCTCAATTCTTACATGTAGTAAAGGTCTATAAATACAACTGATTGAACGAGGTGGACTTTGGGTTGAATATACCATCTGTTAGGGGTTTTGTTGAGCCTTAAGCTAAACAGTCCTCGTTGAATCTGCCCTAAGATGATTAAGGTTTTTACACATTGTGATTACTTGTACGGGCAGACGAGACGGACAACTCTGAAAATCAACATGTAAACACAATGCTATGTATACAATTTTTAGTTTTACAAATTATTTTAACATGAAGTTGTCGAAACCATCACTCACCTTGTATTTGATGTCCGGACGTCCTCATACACAGAACAACACAAATTAGACTGTTTATCTATCCAAGCAGCACGCCATTAGTTATAGATGCATGCATGGCTTCATCCACGATGCTAGAAACGTGTACATCCGTTGCGAATGGGTAAATAACTACGAAAGAAAGTATCCGGCGCTATAGTAGATGTTAGTCTTCCAAGAACGGGCGACATTGCCACAGGACTGCAGTAACCCGGAATCGTATCAACATATACAAAAGGCTACTATATAACGAAATGTTATGTCGTGCATATCAGGGCGTGTGTCGCATCATTAAATTTGTATAATTGAGCACTGACAGAATATGAAATTGTCGATTAACACGTGGTTCGTCTTCTAAAGTGTCATGCTCTATTTAGAAAAGCAATAGGAAAACAGGTATGTTATGTATCCTTTAAACACTACTGTATGCATACGTTGATTTGATTAGAGCTGCACACATGTGAATGATATTACACTATTAACCACACTCGTGAAATATATTTGAAATCACGGAAGACACTGTTAGGTATTCTGTTTATTACATTAGGTTTTACGAAAACCTACACCGGAACGGGAAGCGAAACATCAAGCTGACAATACTTGATATGGATCTTTTTTTTACCTTAAGCATGTGTAGACAACCCTACGCGACAAAATATAGTCCTTTGTGCAAATATTTTAATAAAATGTAAAAACTCATCATTAAAATCCTTAATTATCGTATCTTAAAACAACATACCTATGTCTGAGGTTAAGGCGTTGTGATATGTGAGCAAGGGAAAACCAATCATAGTTTGTATCGTAGTTTTAATATTACCTGTATTCCATTAGTGTGTACACATATGACACTCAAGTCTTTCAACAAAAATAAATAGGACGTGAAGTTTATCATCCATATTTCAATTTTATCTTGATGAATTCTCCTGCAACTAAGTACATTTTGATTTAAAATATCCTAAAAAGCATTAACACATCTAGATAAAAGTCAAGGATATACACAAGTGTAATGACATTCAGTATATCTCTTACACGCTCATGTTAGTATGAATAAGTTGTGTACTGTCATCCCACTATCCAATCAATACAAACCATGTCGTTCCACTGTTCTGTCTGTACTAACCAGGTGGTACTATTGATCTGTCTATACTAATCAGGTCGTCCCACTGTTCTGTCTATACTAACTAGGACGTCCTATTGATCCTAACCAGGTGGTACTATTGATCTGTCTATACTAATCAGGTCATCCCACTGTTCTGTCTATACTAACTAGGACGTCCTATTGATCTGTCTATACTAATCAGGTCGTCCCCCTGTTCTGTCTATACTAACCAGGTCGTCCAACTGTTCTGTCTATACTAACTAAGACGTCCTATTGATCTGTCTGTACTAATCAGGTCGTTCCACTGTTCGGTATATACTAACCAGGTCGTCCCACTGTTCTGTCTATACTAACTAGGACGTCCTATTGATCTGTCTGTACTAATCAGGTCGTCCCACTGTTCTGTCTATATAAACCAGGTCGTCCCAGTGTTCTGTCTATACTAACTAGGACGTCCTATTGATCTGTCTGTACTAATCAGGTCGTTCCACTGTTCGGTATATACTAACCAGGGCGTCCCACTGTTCTGTCTATACTAACTAGGATGTCCTATTGATCTGTCTATACTAATCAGGTCGTCCCACTGTTCTGTCTATATTAACCAGGTCGTCCAACTGTTCTGTCTATACTAACTTGGACGTCCTATTGA